TAATCGTTTAGCCTGTCCACCTATCTATCCATCCATATATCCATGTTTACCTTCACTGAGAACTCAGTACTGTCTATGCAAAAGGGTTCATATTTGTTGTCTGTACCTCCCATGTACCTCTCTATGTCTTTCTCATCCTCATTGCTGTGGGTATTATTTATTTTATAAGCTAGTCTATTATTTGGCTGAAAGGAAATTTACAGGACTAGCTTCAGTTCCAAGTTCAAAGGGTATCCTAGGGCTATAGTCTTGAGGGTTCCTCTAGTCTCTCTCAATCCAGTAAGTCTGGTCTTTTTTTCAGGGATTTGAGTTTTGTTCTACATTTTCTCCCATTCTATCCAGCATCTTCTTTTGTGCCTAGTGGTAGCCAGGCACCATCTAGTTCTTCTGGTCTCAGGTTAGAAGAGGTCGTGGCTCATGTGGATGATTAGTCCTTTGGACTAGTTTCTTTACTGAGTCCTTCATTCCCTTTTGCTCCAGATGTGTAGATCAATGGTTATATCTTAGATGGCCATTCACAAGCTTTTAAAACCCCAGACACTACTCACTGATACTCTTTTCTTACCTGTATCTCTATGCTGACTTTTATTTTACTTAAATTCTGAAACAATTAACAAACCAAAAACCGAGACAAAACAAAACACATACACGTGTATCCCAAAAAGAAAACAAAGAAAAAGTCTCAAAACCTAGACTGTAGAATGATAAAATGGAGAGCCTGAAGAAGTTTGCTGCATCAGTTGATTTGTCCTTTGTTTTCAGGCCAGACTTCAAGCCAGTGTTTCCCATGTAAAACATACCCTATTGTTAAAAATGATGATTCCTGGGCCCTTATTCAGACTTACTAAAACAGAATCTCTGGGAGGTAGGACCTAACATTTTTAATAAAGAAGCTCCTCAAATGACTTACAAAGTTTCTGAACAACAGTACTAACCCATACCACATAGCCTCTTCCCTTTTGTCCCTAAAGATTCATAACTGAACCCTGTGTTCTGTCTGACAATTCTGCCCCCAAAGGAGTATTTGAAACCTTACCACATATAAATAACTAATTACACACACACATACAAACACACAATCTAACTAGAAAACAAAAATGAAAAATGGGCGAAAAACAGGGCAAGGAAAACAAACGGCTAATAAACAAATGAAAAGATTTTTAACCTAATTATCGAGATGCGAGTAAAAATGAGATTTTTAAATCTAAAATGTTAATAGAATGTTAATAGAACCTTTATTCTAGTATTGCCCATCTTACCCAAACACTCTGCTTCCACATACATGTCAGTTTTCCAGGTTTCCTTCTGATGTTGTGGTGAGAGACAATACTTTGTATGATTTCAGTCTTTTAAAATATATTAAGGCTTCTTCTATGGCCTAACATACAGTCTCTCCTGGAGAATATTCCATATCCAGTTGAGAAGAATATGAATTCTGCTAATGGATGGAATTTTGTATGGTTGTCTGTTAGTTCTAGTTGATTTATTCCATCACTGTATTTTTTACTGTTCTTCTATCTAATTGTTCTCTTCATTGGTTAAAGTAGGGTATTGTAATCCCCAACTATTATTGTGGAATTGTTTGTTTCTCCCTTCTCTTGTGTCAGTATTTGCTTCATATATTTTGAGGCTCTTGTTGAGTGCATATACATCTGTAATTATTATATCTTCTTTATGGATTGAACCTTTTATCAATATATATAATGTCCTTCCTTGTCTCTTAAAACAATTTTTGACTTGTCTATTTTTTCTGATACTAGTATAGTCACCCAGCTCTCCTTTGGTTACTGCTTTCATGGAATATCTACTTCCACCCTTTTACTTTCAGTCTGTTTGTATCTTTGAATGAAAAGTGAGTCTCTTGTAGACACAACGTAGTGGGATCACATTTTTTGTTTAAATCCATTCTGCCTATTTGTGCCTTTTAATTGGAGAGTTCAATCGATTTATATTTAAAGTGATTACTAATAAGCAGAATAAAGACTTCTGTTATTTTGCTGTTTGTTTTTTTTTTTATGTCTTATTTTGTACTCTTTTTGTTCCTTAGTTCCTTCATTACTGCTTTCTTTTGTGATTGATTTTTTTTTTCTAATGTACTATTTTGTTTCCCTTTTTATTTATGTTTCTTAGTGGTTACTTTGGGTATTACAGTTACCAAATTTGAATTAATACAAACTTAGTTTCAGTAATGTATCTAAACTCTTCTGTACAGATCCATCCCCTCTTTCATATTATTGTTACAAGTTATGTCTATATACCTTGTGTACCCACTAATATAACTTTATAATTTTTTAAAAACCATATGGGGAAAAAAAGAGCACTTACAAATGAAATATGCAATACTACTGAGTGACTCCCTTTAATGTTTCTTATGGAGCAGGTCTACTGGTGAGGAACTGCTCAGTTTTTGTTTGTCTGGGAATGTCTTAACTTTTCCTTAATTTCTGAAGGATATTTATATCAGATATAGAATTCCTGTTGATAAGTTGTTTTATTTTTACCTTTCAACTCTTTAAATATACCTTTCCACTGCTATTTCTAATATCCATGAGTGTAATTTCTTTTGGTAGAAACAGCCTGGGAAGTTTCCCATTTCTGTGCATGGAGTTGAGATAGCTGAGGTCACAAGTTACATACCTTTTCTCAAATTATTTTGAGGCAAAAATACCATGCTTATTAAGAAAAATAATGCTTTTTTGAAGTAAGCAAACTTCAATATTTGGTTACAGGAGAGTGATTTTCAAATATATTGTTATGTCATATCTTAACTGTTATTTTTCTGTTTTCTTCAAACTTTGCTCAAACCTCAAAGAGTTCTTTTAAAGTATATTGGCATATTCAATTCATTAATCTTGGTACTTCAAAAATCACTGAAGCTTCCCTTCCCTTTCTCTGAAAAAAGTTTTATATTCCATATACTTCACTTGAAGTTGGTATAAAACTATGTAATGCTAAACCTTTTCATTTGACAATTTATTTTTCACAAAATTTAATTTTAATCCTTTGTACTGTACTGAGACAAAATGTTCATGGAGTTTATATGAGGAAGGAGATGAAAATTGAGTTCCTATCAATTAAAAGAAAACATACTCACTGCCATCAAGTCAATTCCAACTCATAGCGACCCCCACTGGGTTTCTGAGGTGGTATCTTTACAGAAGTAGATTGCCCAGTCTTCCTTCCGTGAAGTGGCTGGTAGGTTTGCACCTCCAGCCTTCTGGTTAGTAGTCAGATGCCTTAGGCACTGCCCCACCAGAGTTTCTTTCTTATCAGTTGTTGTTGTTATATGCCGTGGAGTCAGACCTGACTCATAGCGACCCCTCCTTGGGTTTCCAAGGCAGTTTCACTATGGAAGTAGATTGCCCCATCTTCCTTCCAAGGAGTGACTGGTGGGTTTGAACCGCCAGGCTTCTGGTTAGCAGTCAAGTGCCTTTAGGCATTACGCTACCAGAGCTCCTTTCCTATCAGTTAGGGGCTTTATATATGTTACCTTACAAAATTCCCTATTACAGCAGACATGTAAGGTAGGAGTTATCATTCCCTTTTAACTGATGAGGCACCTGAACCTCCAAAATGTTAAAAAGCAAATTGCCCAAAGTCACATTACTTCTAACTGACAGAGCCAGAAGTAAAACCAAGGTTTTTCTGAGTCAAAGCTTGTGATCTTTTTTATTTGACACAGCTTTTATTTGACAAGAGATTTAATAAATATTTGGTGAATGAAGGAATGACAAAGTGACTTTGAGAAGTTTCTGTTACTTGCTGAGTTTTTCTAAGATTTAGAAAGAGGAGATAGTAAATCATTGTGCTTTTCTGTTATCTTTCAGCTTTCAGAAGAATTATTAGATAAATGGCTCTCCTATCCAGAGTCCCAGCATATTCCTCTCTCCCAGCATATGCTTGGTTTTGCAGTGAAGTCTGTTACACAGATGGTAATGGGTAATACCTTTGAAGATGACCAAGAAGTCATTCGCTTCCAGAAGAATCATGGCGTGGTAAATCTGAGGCCAAATTAAATTTCTTTTTTTCATCATATTGGATACTTTGTCTCTAAAAGAGAAAGTTTAAGATTCTGTAATACAGGGAGTGTCTGACTTACAACATGATTCCATTCCAGTGACTCCATTACAAGTTGGTTCTGACATGAGTAGAATACCTCTTTTTTTTTTTTTTTTCACTATTAGTGACTTTTATTATCATTATCTTTATAAATCCAATCTTAATGTGCCTTTGAGGGTTGGAAACATTACATATAAACTTACAGATATATTTTAATACATACATGCATATTACTAACAAGATGTACAAAAAAAAAGACTGTTGTAAGTATGATTTGTCATAATTTGAATATGTCATCAGTTGAGGGCTACTTGTATATAAATGTCCATATTTTGTTCTAAAAAAGAGCAATGCAAACAAAATTAACTGTTGCCTTTTTTAAATTTTAAAGAGCTCTGGTGGTGCAGTGGTTAAGACATTTAGCTGCTAACCATAAGGTTGGCAGTTCAAATGTACTAGCTGCTCTGTGGGAAAAAGACGATGCAGTATGCTTCTGTAAAGATTTATAGCCTTGGAAACCCTATGGAGCAGTTCTACTCTGTCCCATAGGGTCACAGTATCAGTTGCAATTGACTTGATGGCAGTAGGCTTGGGCTTTTTTAAAAATTTAAGGAATTAATTTTTTAAAGCAATTGCTGAAATGTAAAAATGCACATGACTCAAATTTTCTTTTACTATACTACTTAGCAAGTATGTTATCAAAGTAATACTGATGCTAAGAAGTTTTCAAATATTTCAAGTTAAATTTTTTGTTCTTTTATTATGATTTGGTTCTATTTCAGAACTTTTAAATTATAATCAACTTGAAAATCTTTCCTCGCTGCTTATCATCTCTAAAACTTAGACTAATTTTTTAACCTTTTCTTGGGCCTCAACCAATATTTATCAACATCTCAGGTGAAATAAAAATTTGGTATTACCTGTGAATTTTATGTATCCACTGGTACCGTGAAATAAAAAATGGATTCTACTGCCATATCCTTCCTCTTCTTCCCACCCCTAGTCCTTTTAAATAACAGCAACTTTTCACTTTTCAGTTGTAATTAATTTGAAGGGTACCTTCTATGAAATTATTAAAATATATTTGTAACTTATTCTCAGACACTATGGAGTAAATGATTGTGTAGCCCCTTAAAAAGGAGAGATTATGAGATCTGTTAGTGAGAAAGGATTCCTCAGTTATTAGCTTAGATTACTAAGAAAATCTACCTACTAAATATTTTCCTATTTTCAGGTTTGGTCTGAGATTGGAAAAGGTTTTCTAGATGGGTCACTTGATAAAAGTACAACTCGGAAAAAACAATATGAAGATGGTAAGTTTGCCATTCTTAAGTCTGACTGAGAACAAAAGTATATATACCCAATTGTAATAGGGTTATCTCTGAATGGTGGGATTATAGATTATTTATGTTTTCTATGTTTTGCCTCTATGTTTTATACAGTGTAAGTTTTTTTTTTTAAACCAAAGATTGGATAGTGAAAGAATCCCAAGCATATACTACAGAATGAGCGTGCTGTAGAGCCAGTGTATCCATCCTGTAGGGTTTATGGAAAGTGTAAAGGTACGGTCCTAACAAAGTAATTTGACAATACATTTTAAGAGCTATAAATAATGGATGAAATTATCTAAAAGAAAACATTCATGAAAATAAATTTTGTAGTACTCCTTTTCAAGTGAAAAACCAGAAATCATCAAAATGGCCAGCGATACAGGAATTTGTTAAAAAATGAATGATATTTTTCATGGTGTAAAATACAGATACTTTACAGATATCTGTATTTAAAAATACAGATATTTAAAATATATATAACAGAAGAAATAATTCTAGCTATTATAACATTGAGTAAAAGACCCACAGAATTGTTTGGAATTGAAAGATGCAGTTTTTAATTAAGATACCCCTCCAAAATTATTTTCCCTTGCCCTTTTTTTTTTTAAAGAAATAAACAGGGTAAGTTATAAATGCCAGACTGCACTGGCATAAATGGATTATTTTAATCTATAATGAAGCTCTGGTGGCCCAGTCATTAAAGATTTGGCTGCTAACCAAAAGGTCAGTGGATAGAACCCACCAAGCCACTCTGCAGGAGAAAGATGAGGCAATCTACTTCCATAAAGATTTATAGCCTTGGAAACGCTCTGGGGCAGTTCTACACTGTCCTGTAGGGTTGCTGTGAGTTGGAATTGACTTGATGGCAGTGGGTTTGTTTTGTTTTTGGTTTTTCATATATAATAATAATAATGCTTCATTGTATTCTCTTCATTTTTCAACAAATATTTATGTAAGTCTACTATGTGCTAGGCACTATTCTCTTCATAGAAAAAAAAATCCCTGTGACTTTTGAGCAAACACTTGTAAGAAGTGAGGAAATCAGTCATACAGATTATATGGATATCTAGATTTTCAAGGGAAGACTATTCCAGGTAGATGAAAATTGCAAAGTTTTTGAGTTGGGATTCTTGTTATATTTAAGGTACAATAGAGAGGCCAGTATGGTAGGAGTAATGTGAGTCAGAAAATGAAAGCCTTCAGGAGAATGAGAGAGAAGGACAGATTATGTAAGGCTTACAGACTATTGTATGACAAGGCTGTTACTGTGAACTAGGAAGCCACTGGAACATTTTGAAGAGCAGTATGATATTATCTGAGGTTAAATTTTCAAAGGATCAATTTGGCTGTCGTGTAGACTAATAGAGGCCAATAGCAGAAGTAGGGAGACTAATTAGGGGGCTGTTGAAATGAACCAAACAAGAGAAATAATGTAGCATAGATAAGGTAGCAGGTAGCAGTGAAGTTGATAAATGTATCTACACTATTTTTCTAACCTTAAAAGAAATGCCTGTTATTTCCAAGTTGACACTGGAATCTCAGCAGACACTTTCTTCCTTTTCTTCTGCATCTTCACACTGCTTCTTTCTTTATTTTTTTGACACTTTGCTGAGATATAATTTATTTGTCATATAATTCACCCTTTTAACGTACACAGTTCAGTAGTTTCTAGTGTATTCACAGGTATGTGCAACCATCGCCAGTCAATTTTAGAACATTTTCGTCATCTCAACAAGAAATCCCGTATTCTATAGCTAGTGCATCTCTACTCCTTCCATCCCTTAATCCGCAGCAACCACTAATCTATTTTCTGTCTCTATAGATTTACCTCTTCTGGCCTTTCATATAAATGGAATCATATAGTATGTGGTCTTTTGTAACTGGCTTATTTCACGTAGAATACAGCACTTCATTCCTTTTCATGACCAAATAGTATTCTATTGATGAATGCATATACATTTTGTTTATCTGTTTGTCTTTTAATGGACATTTGGATTATTTCCACATTTTGGCGATTATGAAGAATGCTGCTATAAACATTCATTTACAATTTTCTGTGTGGAGATGTTTTCTTTTCTTTTGGGTATGTACTTAGTTATATAGTTCTACTCTGCATTCAAGAGGTCACCATGAGTCGGAATCAACTGGATGGCAGCTAACAATAACAACATGGTAACTCTGTGTTTAATCATTTGTGAAACTGCCACACTGTTTTCCAAAGTGCCTGGACCATTTTACTTACCCACCAACAGTGTTTGACGGTTCTGATTTCTCCACATTCTCCCTAACACTTATTATCTAATTTTTTGATTCTAGCCATCCTACTGGGTGTGCACTAGTATCTCATGGTGGTTTTGATTTGCATTTCCCAGATGATTATAAGCATCTTTTCATGTGCTTATTGACAGTTTCTTAGTCTGTCTGAGTTTGGAGGCTCCACTGATACCTGTCTAACAAGGGTGATGCAGTTGTATTTGAGACACTAAGTAGAATAGCTTCCAGCATCACAGCAACATGTAGGCCGCCATAATATGAAAAAATGACAGACTAAGACAGACTAGGAACAAGGATGGGGCCATCCACTTCTGAAGAAATTAGCCACTCTAAACCTTGAGAAGGAGCTCTGGTAGCATAGTGCCTAAGGCACTTGACTGCTAACCAGAAGGCTCGAGGTTCAAATCCACCAGCCACTCCTTGGAAGGAAGGTTGGGCTGTCTACTTCTGTAGTGCTACTGCCTCGGCAACCCACGGATGGGTCTCTATGAGTCAATTCCGACTTGACGGCACATAACAACAACAACAAACCTTGAGAATAGCAGTGAAACATTGCATGATATATTACTAAGAAATTTTATGAATAGCAGTGAAACATTGTCTGATATAGTACTAGAAAATGAGCCCCTCAGGTTGGAAGGCACTCAAAATATGATTGGGAAAGAACTGCCTCCTCAATGTAGAATTGACTTTAATGACATGGATGGAGCAGAGCTTTCTGGACCTTCATTTGCTGATGTGGAATGACTGAAAATGAGAAGAAACAGCTGCAAACATCCATTAGTAATCAGAACATGAAATATATGAAGTATGAATCTAGGAAAATTGAAATGTGTCAAAATGAAATGGAACACATAAAAATCAATATCCTGGCATAAGCTGAAATGGACTAGTATTTGCCATTTTCAATCAATCACATACATGGTCTACTACGCCTGGAATGACAAATTGAAGAAGAATCAAGTTGTATTCATTGCCAGAACATACCAAAATCTATCCTGAAGTACAATGCTGCAGTGATAGGATAGTATCCATATGCCTACAAGGAGGACCAGTTAATATTATTCAAATTTACACATCAACCACTAGAGCCAAAGATGAAGAAATTGAAGAATTTTACCAACTTCTGCAGTCTAGAATTGACCAAACATGCAATCAAGATGCATTGATAATAGCTGAAATAAATGACGCTGGACACCACATGATAGAATTCTGTAAACTGCAAATACCTTTTTTCAGCAACATAAATAGTGATTATACACGTGGACCTCACCAGATGGAACAAAATTAACTGCATCTATAGAAAGAAGCTATGTTTGTTTTGTTATTTGCCATCGAGTCGGCCCTGACTCATAGCGACCCCTCCTTGGGTTTCTGAGGCAGTATCACTATGGAAGTAGGAATGCCCAACAAGCTATGGAGAAGTTCAATGTCAGAACAAGGCCAGGAGCTAAAAGGAACAGACCATCAGCTGCTCCTATGCAAGTTCAAGTAGAAGCTGAAAAAATTAAAATGAGCTCAAGAGAGCCAAAATATGACCTTGATTATATCCCACCTGAACTTAGAGACCATTAGAAGAATACATTTGACCCACTGAATACCAGTCACCAAAGATGAGATGAGTTGTGGGATGACATCAAGAACATCATACATGAGGAAAGCAAAAGGTCCTTAAAAAGATAGGAAAGGAAGAAAAGTCCAAAATGGACGTCAGAAGAGACGCTGAAACTTGCACTTGAACACAGAGTAATTAAAGCAAATGGAAGAAATAATTAAATAAAAGAAATGAAGATTTCAAAGGGTGGCTTGAGAAGGCAAAATAAAGTATTATAATGAAATGTGCAAGACCTGGAATTAGAAAACCAAAAAGAAATAATGCACTTGTCACTTCCTAAGCTGAAAGAACTGAAGGAAAAAGTCTAAGCCTTAAATTGCAATATTGAAGGATTCTATGGGTAAAATATTGAACAATGCAGGAAGCGTGAAAGAAGATGGAAGGAATACACAGAGTCACTGTACCAAAGAATTGTTCAATGTTCAGCCCTTTCAAGAGGTAGCTTCTGGTCAGGAACCTATGATAGTAAAGGAAGAAGTCCAAGCTGCACTGAAGGAATTGGCAAAAAACAAGGCTCCAGGAATTGATGGAATACCTAGTAAGATGTTTCAACAAACATAGCATTGGAGGTGCTCACTCTTTTGTGAGTGTACTAGGAAATCTGGAAGACAACTACCTGGCTAACCAACTAGAAGAAATCCATATTTGTGCCCATTCCAAAGAAAGGTGACCCAACTGACTGTGGAAATTACTGAATAACATCATTAATACTGCATGTAAGTAAAATTTTGCAGAAGGTATTTCAAAAACAATTGCAGCAGTATATTGACAGGGAACTGCCAGAAATTCAAGCTGGATGTTGCAGAGAGCATGGAACAAAGGATATCACTTCTGATGTCAGATGGATCTTGGCTGAAAGCAAAGAATACCAGAAAGATGTTTACCTGTGATTTATGGACTATATAAAGGCATTCGACTGTGTGGATTATAACAAATTATGGATAACACTGTGAAAAATGGGACATCCAAAACACTTAATTATGCTCATGAGGGACCTGTACATAGACCAAGAGGCAGTTGTTCAAATAAAACTTGGATACTGCATGGTTTAAAATCAAGAAATGTGTGTATCAGTGTTATATCCTTTCACCATACTTAATCAGTTTGTATGCTGAGCAAATAATCTAAGAAGTTGGCTGTATGAAGAAGAATGCAGCATCAGGATTGGAAGAAGACTCATTAACAACCTGCAATATGCAGATGCTTACTGAAAATGAAGAAGACTTGAAGCACTTACTGACGAAAATCAAAGACTACAGTCTTCAGTATGGATTATACCTCAACATAAAGAAAACAAAAATCCCCACAACTGGACCAGTAAGCAACATCATGGTAAATGGAAAAAAGTTTGAAGTTGTCAGGGATTTCATTTTACTTAGATCCACAATCAGCGCCCATGGAAGCAGCAGTCAAGAAATCAGTTGATACATTGCGCTGGCCACTTTTGCTGCAAAAGACCTCTTTAAAGTGTTAGAGAGCAGAGATGTCATTTTGAAGAGTAAGGTGCACCTGACCCAAGCCATGGTATTTTTAGTTACCTTGTGTATTTGAAAGCTGGATAGTGAGTAAGGAAGGCCAAAGAAGAATTGATGCATTTGAATTGTTATGTTGATGAAAAATATTGAAAACACCATTGACTACCAGAAGAATGAACTAATCTGTCTTGGAAGAAGTATATTTGGAATGTTCCTTAGAAGCAAGAATGACTGGACTTAGTCCACGTACTTTGGTCATGTTGTTAGAAGGGCCCAGTCCCTGGAGAAGTATATCATACTTGGTAAAGTAGATGGTCAGCAAAAAAGGGGAAGATCCTCAGTGAGATGGGATGACACAGTGGCTGCAGTGATGGGCTCAAGCAGAGGAGATTGTGAGAATGGCACAGGACTGGGCAGTGTTCTCTTGTCGCTGTGAGGTGGAACCGACTTGACCACATTTAACAAGTGCCACAGCATTGACAGTTTGCATATATTCTATGTCTGTTTTTCAAATTAGGTATTCATCTTTTTATTATTGGAATATAAAAGTTCTTTATATATCCTAGATCTAAGTCTCTTGCCAGGTATATGATTTCTAAGTATTTTCTTCTGTTCTTTGATTATCTTTTCAAAATCTTGATGGTGTTCTTCAGTGTACAAAGGTTTTAAATTTTCATGAAGTCCAACTTATCTACTGTATGTTGAAGACAGGCACTATCATCGGCTGGCAGATTAGATGCATGGGTTAGGCCTGAGTAACTGAAAATGAGATGGGTGTGGTGTTTAAGGTTATGTGTCAGTTTGGCTGGGCCTGGTTTTGAGTGGCTGGGTAGCTGGTGGTATTTATTCTCCATGATGAGACTGGCAGTCAGCTCCATGGTGGAATTTGCCGCATGCAGCTGAATAGCTGCTTTAGGGATGTGGTCTGCTTCCTGTATATAAGGAGCAACACTGGGAATGGTCTGCAGCTTTTGACATGCTTGAACCCCGCATGTAGCCAAGTCTTCATTTAGCAGCCTGCCGTGTTTCCTGCTGATCTTGGGACTGTCTCTGGACTTGAACTACTAGTCTGCCATGTTGTTTGGTAATATTGAGACTGTGCCATTTTCTTTGTTGACCTTGGGCTTGTTAGTCTCAGCAGCCAGCAGCTACTTGAGGGAAGAGGCACCTCTAGCTCCAGTGGGCCAGAGGAAGAGGCAAAGTCCAAGGTTGAGGGACTTTTACCCAGCCCCTAGAGGTTGGCACTTTGAACTTGGACTTCTAGCCTCCAAAACTGTAAGAGAATAAATCCTTGTTTGTTAAAGCCACCCATTTTTGGTATTTTCTGCTAGAGCAGCATGAAGTCACCAAAATGTCAGGGAAACTAAAAATACCTAATTCGAGGACACAGATCAGGAGTTCAGTTTTGGATATGTTACAACACTTAATATGCTTTAAATATTCAAGTGGAGATACTGAGTTGGTTATTAGATATATGAGAGTCCAAGAGAGAGAGGTCCTGACTGGAAATAGGAATTCAGGAGTAATTTCTGCATCTGTTTCTGCCCCTAAACGAGTGATACGTGATCTGGGATAAGACTGGTGTCGAGAGGACAGAGTTGAAAGGAAGGTTCGTAGTATCAAGGGAGGAGCATATGATGTGGAGACTTCTTGGATGCGGATGTTCTTCTTGCACTGGGCAGTGATGATGTGGGTGTTTGCTTTATAATCATTCCTTATACATATATCTTTGCTGTACTTTTTTTTTTTTAATATGCTCTATTTAATGAAAAGAAAGTGAATTTAAACATAAATTAGCTTTGCTTATTTTTAGTTACTGTTTTACTTTTGAAGATTTTATTCTGTACATAGTAAAACTGTATAGAATTGTTTTTTTAAAAATTCAGCTTTCACAAATGCTTATATTATGAAATCTTCTTTTTTTCCCAAGCCCTTATCGAACTGGAATCTATTTTAAAGAAAATCATAAAAAAACGAAAAGGAAGGAGCTTTAGTCAACAGATTTTCATTGACTCCTTAATACAGGGGAACCTTAATGATCAGCAGGTGATGTAGTTGTTCAATGTATATTAAATAAAATGTAATCAAACTTTATTCCATATGCTTTCCTCAAATTCAATGGCTCTATTCTTTTATTATACGTAAGTATTATTATACATCAGTATTTATTATACATAAGTATTATATATTTGACAAGTAGTCTCCTTTTATTTAGCTCTTTGAAGTAGCTCTATATTATGTAATATTTGAGTAAACAAATATTAAGCCAAAATTCTCTGTTCATAAAAGAGGAGGAAAAAAAACAAACCAAACCCACTGCCATCGAGTCAATTCTGGCTCATAGTAGCCCCCACTGGGTTTCCAAGGCAGTAAATCTTTATGGAAGTAGATTGCCCAGTCTTCTTCTGGGGAGTGCTGGTGGGTTTGAACCACCAACCTTCTGATTAGCAGTTATATGCCTTAGGCACTGTGCCACCACAGCTCTTTAAAGAGGAAAAAGACTTGTATAAGCCTTTATAGACAAATCCCCTCTGCCTACATGGCCAGGTGTGGTAGCTTGGCTTGTTCACAGTGCATGTCTATTACCCCAGCATACCACCATGTTTGTGATATTGCCAGGCAAAGGGCAGAAGTGGAGTCGTCATTGTCACAATTATTCATTATAGAAATCTTCTGCCTTACCCTACATACGCAAGGCGCCTATTAGTTCCTTGCAGACAGTAGTGGTTTCCCGTGTGTGCGTGCGTGCGTGTGTGTATGTTTACATGTAAGTATGCAGAAATGGAATCAGGCTCTTCTCCACTTTTCCTGAGGCTTCATTGCTGTATCATGCCAAGCCAGAAAGATAGAACTGAGCCAGCTTGTTTGGCAGAGAATATCATGAACCAGTAATATTATCAATAAATATTTATTGCATCAAAAAGCAATGCAATATTTCGATTGGCTTCCATATACAGATTTTGTTTTAATTAAAATATCATAAAGAAATAAGATAACGTTTTCTTGATCCTAAGTTTATACTGTAGGTTATTTTAGTAGGGCCTAATATAAGCCACTTCATATTTCACACTTTCTAAATGTAGTTTTGTTTCTTAGATCCTTGAAGACAGTATGATATTTTCTCTGGCCGGTTGTATAATAACTGCAAAATGTAAGTATAAATTGATTTCTTTCTAGTTGGATTAAAGAATATGTGAAGATAAAGTATTCTAAAATGAAGGAAACACTTTACAGACACTTGTATAAAAATTTCCCTTTCCTTCTACTTTTTATTTGTGTTTTGAAGTCTTGGTTCACACAAGTATCTTTTTTTATTCCAGATTTTCTATGCCACCTTTGAACATAAATTTCTTGACACGTAGGTTTATGGATTGTGAATTCCAGTTACTGCCTTTAAAATGAACTGCTATTGACACCTTTCCAACTGGAGCAGTGAGCTTTTCAATTTCCTGCTGCTGCTTTTCACTTTGGTTCCAATCCTAATAGCAATCCTGCTATTATTAAGGTCTGCCAACAGAAAATGTAGGCCACAGAAATCATGATTTTAAAAAACCTCTCTGTTGGTGTTATTGAAAGTGATTCTTTTATTGAAAATTCCAAAATATGTGATGTTTCTAACTTTCCTCACTGGTTTTTAACTATATAAAAATTTGTCTATAGACATAAAAATACACTAATATAAAATGCTTAAAGGAAATACTAAAACATCACTTTAAAATCTAGGCAATTTATATTTACCTGAGAGATTTCAAAGGAGCTCTGGTGGCAAATAGTCACTTATTTGACTGCTGACCAAAAGGTTGGTGGTTTGAACCCACCAGCTGCTCTGTGGGAGAAAGATGAGGCAGTTTGCTTCCGTAATGATTTACAGCCTTGGAAACCCTATGGGCAGTTCTATTCTGTCCTAAAGGGTTGCTGTGAGTCGGACTCAACTCAATGGCAGTAGGTTTGTGTTTTGAGGGATTTAATTCCCAGGTTTTTCTATTTAAGGAAAATGTCCAGAAAATGATGAGTACAAATGAAAACTTCCCATAAATTTTTCCTTTTTGTAAAATTTTTGACATCAAGAGATCTCTAGATATTATAGATTAAATGGAATTTAGGTAAGCATGTGTCAGGAGTAATGTATTTAGTTACATAAGATTTAATTAAAATGTTTTAAAAATTAATTACATTAGAAACACCTTTGCTAATAAAGTTTTAAAAAAGACTTTGTGGTTGTGCTGTAGATACTATGAGAAGTAATCATTTCCAAGGTAGAGTTAATATATTAATATTATTTACAGTTTTTAGGGAGAATTTTTAGAATATTAAACTGTATATTTGCATGTGGATTAGATATTTTTTATAGGTATCTCTGAAGTTTTGGAGAGGCAAGATAGGCAGGAAATTTAATTAAGGCCCTTACTCTGCCACTTACTAGCCGTAGGCAAGATGTTTACCTCTGTAGTTTTTCTTTCCTAAAATGAAGGTTTAGCTCTAGATGACCTCCAAAGTATCCTTTATTTATGTAATTGTGCCTTATTCATTATTGTATTTAAAGAGCCTTAACTGGCTTAACCAAAAAACCCAAGCTCATTGCCATGGAGTTGGATTCCACTTGGGTTTCTGAGGTAGTATCATCACGGAAGTAGAACGCCCAATCTTCCTTCCAAGGAGTGGCTGATGAGTTTGAAGCATCAGCCTTCTGGTTAGCAGTCAGATGCCTTAAGACACTATGCTACCAGAGGTCCTTTGACTGGTTTAGAAACACATTTTTAAGCTCTCCAGATGACTTTGTAATAGAGTTGTGCAAGACAACCAGTATTTGAGATTGTTAAGCTTAAACAATTACATTAATTTTAAGTAATAATATAGTCAGCTGGGTATATGAATGAGTACTGTGTGCAAATCCTCATTCTGAATCCTTTAGTATACTGTATATTGTCACTCTGTGGAAGGAAGACTGGGCAATCTACTTTCATAAAGATTTACTGCCTTGGAAACCCAAAGGGGGTCACTATGAGTCAGAATTGACTTGATGGCAGTGAGTTTTTATAAACTCTTGGTTGGGTAAATTATCAAAATAATTGAGCACCGCAAGGTAGTCCAGAGATAGGAACTGGTTCATAGGTAAATCAGGTAAACATTTGAAAAAAATTAACTTTGAGAAAAATTCAAATCAATCCTTAGCTCAGGGAAGAGGTTGAAAATTTTATGAATATATTGAAAATTACCTGCCATAGAAAAAGTAGACCTATACATAGTGTCAGTTCAAGCAGAGTCTAGGGAATGAGGTGTAATATATTTCCAGATGGTTCCATTCTTTGAATAGATAAAATTACAGCATATTCCGGAAGGAAATATTACTATTCTGTTTCCTGTTTTATGTTCATCATGGAATTTTTTACCCTTATTTTCATTTCCTCAATGGAAATAAGTAATAAACCAGCTTAAGCAAAAGCCATAAATTAGGTGGCTTCCTAATTTTGGTGTTCATCAAAATAATTGTGGGGTTTGTTAAAAGTACAGTTGCCTGGACTCCATCCCATACCTAATGTTTCAGAATCTGTGGGGTCATGGCATCACCCAACTCCCCAGATAATTTTTTTTTAAATAATATTTTATTATGTTTTGGGTGAACGTTTACACAGCAAATTAGGTTTCTCTTTAACAATTTATATACCAGTTGTTCTCTGCCACTGATTATAATTTTTACAATGTGTCAGCATTTTCATTATTTCTGTCCTGTTAGTTCTCTTTCTATTGATGTAGCTTCCCTTCTCCTCCTTGCCATATTGTCCTTGCTTAAGGTTAACTGTTGACCATGGGACCTCATATAGTTAATTGTTTAAATAAGCACATTATTCACAGGTGATATTGTTAATTTTATAAGCCAATCTGTTGTCTGGCTGAAAGGTGACCGGCAGAAATAGTTTCAATTCCAAGTTCAAAGTATATTTTAGGGTGATAATCATAGGTGTTCCTCTAGCCTCTTGTCATCCCTAGATGATTTTTGAGAACCACTGTCCTAAGCACTACCAAAAAAACAAACCTACTATCATCGAGTCAATTCTGACTCATAGTGACCCTACAGGACAGAGAAATGCCTGGTAGGGTTTCCAAGGCTGTACATCTTTATGGAAGCAGACTGCCTCATCTTTCTCTCATGGAGCAGCTGGTGTTTCCAACCACTGACTTTTAGGTTAGCAGCCAGATGCTTTAACTATTATGCCACCAGGGCTCCTTTGTCATAGCAACAATGAGTCACAATTCTAGAGCCAGTATATCTATCGTTGTTGTTGTTGTTATGTGCCATCAAGTCGAACCCAACCTCTAGCAACCCCTCCTTGGGTTTCCTAGGAAGTATCACTACGGAAGTAGATTGCCCCATTACAAAGAAAAATTTAGAATATTAATTTATAGCTAGATCTGCTAGCTTGACTTGTATGAATCATTTCCTTAGGGCTCCTGAGTGAACCAATAAATCAATTTTTAGATTTTATAGTATTGAGTGAACCAGATAATCCATTATAGTCATCAACATTGAACACTCTCCAGCTATTAAACTTTGTTAACATTATTATTTTATGCAATGTGAAAGGTGTTACATCGCTTCAGTTATTTGCCAGTTTTAAGAAAGAGAGATTTCAGATTGTAGCGTCTCTTTTCGATAATTTTCTATGAACATTCATGTTCTGCTCAATGATGTACAAATCCTGTGAAGAATTTTATTTTTTTGTGCCATTTATGTATCTGCTGCATTAGTTAAAAAAAAAAGCATTAATAAAATGTTTTCTTATTCTGTCCTGAAACCATTACTTAGCTATTTTCATTTTTATTAACATAATTTTTCACATAGTATGCACCTGGGCAATATATTTTTTAACGATCTCTGAAGAAGTTCAGAAAAGATTATATGAAGAAATATACCAAGTTTTTGGGAAGAGCCCTATTACTCCAGAGAAAATTGAGCAGCTCAGGTAAGAACACAATAACAGGAAGAGAAAATTAATAAAAGATAAATTTGGACTGGTTTAACTACCTAATTTAAAGCTAATACTAATATCTAAGAAAGCTATATATTTTTATAGGGACTTAAAATATATACATACATATTTTAATAACCTAATTTTCTTTTTAAAATAGTAACATACAGTACCTGTAGTAGACAAACTTTTAAACTAGCCTGTATAAAATCGAATCAGTGATGTGGAATAAGTGGAACTCTCATATGTTGTTGGTGGGTGTGGTGGTTAAGTTTGTGTGTCAGCTTGGCTGGGCCTGGTTGAATGGCTGGGCAGCTGGATGTGGTATTCCCCATGATGAGAGCGGTAATCAACTCCATAGTGGAATCTACTGTGAGCAGCAGAGTAGGGAATGTGGTCTGCTTCCTGTATATAAGGAGAAGCTTTGGGGAACGCTCTCTAGCTTATGGCATGCTTGAACCCTGCATGTAGCTGTGTTGTTACTTAGCAACCTGCCATACTCTGCCAACTTTGGGACTTTCAGTTGACTTGAATTAATAGCCTGCTGTGTGGTTTGGTAACATTGGGCCTGTGCCTTTTTACTTGTCAACCTTGGGCTTGTTAGCCTCAGCAGCCAGCAGCTGTCTGAGTGAAGAAAAGCTTCTAGCTTCAGTGGGCTGGGACCAGGAGGCAGAGCTGAAGCCCAAGGCTGAGGGGCTTTCACCCAGCTCCTAGAACATGGCACTTTGAACTCGGACTTAAAGCCTCCAAACTGTAAGAGAATAAACTCCTATTTGTTGAAGCCATCCCATTTGTGGTATATTCCTGTCAGAGCTGCACTGGGTAACCAAAACAGTGGGAATGCAAAATACTACAGCCACCTTGGAATATAGTATGGTAGAAACTTACCATTAAACATACACTTATCACATGAGCTAGCAATTCCACTTGTAGGTATTTACCTAAGAGAAATGAAAACTTGTCTTTACAAATACCTGTAAATGTTCATAGCAACATTATTCAGAATATCCCAAAACTCATATAACTTAAAATGTTCATAAAGTGATAAATAGATAAAGAAATTATGGTATATCCATCCTATGTAATGATACAGAGTAATAAAAAGGAACAATAGTAATACAACAACATGGATAAATCTCACTATGCTAAGTGAAAGAAGTCAAACCAAAAGACTTACCTACTGTATGTTTTCATTTAAGTGGAATTCCAGAAAATATAAAATTATGGTGATGGAAAGCAGATCAGTGGTTCTCTGGAGCCAGAAATGGAGACAGGGGGTGCTTGTGTGGGATTACAAAATTATATACAGTTGCTAAAATTCATCACACTGGGTAAGTAAAATAGATGAATTTTTTTTTTTTTTTTTTTGTATGTGTAAGTAATACCTCAATAGGAGCTCTGGTAGCATAGTGCCTAAGGCACTTGACTGCTAACCAGAAGGCTGGCGGTTCAAACCCACCAGCCACTCCTCGGAAGGAAGATGGGACAATCTACTTCTGTAGTGATACTGCCTCAGAAACCCAAGGAGGGGTCGCTATGAGTCGGGTCCGACTCGACGGCATAAAACACCACCACCACCTCAATAAAAAAAGATTTAAAAAACAGCAGCTTTGACTGCTTAGGGGTTTGAAGTCTAAGAGTTGCTACCTATAGCAAGCAACCCTACCTTAAAGCATATTTCAACAATAGAAGACAGGGATATAGCCATTAGAAAGAACTAGAAGCCATGGGTTTCCCAAGGAAGTTCTGTTGCAAACTGTTTAAAATGTTGGAAGTTTTATTTATGATATTGAGTATAACTACTTTTTTACTATAAAAGTAATACATACTTGTCTTTAAAAGATTTTATGAAATAGAAATGTATGCAGTAGGTGAAGATTCTTTTTACATGCACCCTTAAGAGATAACATATGTTAGCACTTTGCTATTTATCTCTTCACATTTTTCCTAAGGATATACACACATACATATTAAAAAAAAAAAAATAATACCAAAAAAAAAACTTCTGTAAATTCTATTTTTTCTTTATTTTGTTCACAGTGGTCTCAGATACAGTGACTCTAACACATCTAATCAATTATCAAGTTCTGTTGATTCTACTTTCAAAAACTTACTGAGATTGTCCCCAGTCTATTTCAGATCATTTTGATTGAGATACTTTAGCACCTTGGAATTTTACTCCCTTCCAATCCATTCTCCAGATTGCTGCTGATGCCCTGTATTCACACTGCAATAACCTGTTGTTGTTAGGTGCGGTCAAGTAAATTTTTGACTTACAGTTACCCCAGTCTCAGAGTAGAACTGTCCCATAGGGTTTTCTAGGCTGTAATTTTTATGGGAGCAGAGCATCTGGTCTTTCTCCCACTGAGCTACTGATTGGGTTCAAACCACCAACCTTTTGATGAGTAGCTGAACACTTAACCATTGCTCTATCAGGACTTCTTTGCAGTAACCTAGAGTGTAGCAGTATATTGACAAGGAGCTTCCAGAAATTCAAGCTGGATTCAGAAGATGACATGGAACGAGGGATATTATTGCTGATGGCAGATGCATCTTGGCTGAAAGCAAAGAATACTGGAAAGATGTTTTACCAACTATGAAAGGCATTCAACTGTGTTGATCATAATAAATTATGGATAACATTTCAAAGAATGGGAATTCCAGAACATTTAATTGTGCTCATTAGTAAGGCTACTGTACATAGACCAAAGGCTATCATTCGAACCGAACAAGGGGGTACTGCATAGTTTCAAGTCAGGAGGAGTATGTGTAAGTTTGTATCCTTTTACCACACTTACTCAATCTGTAGCTGAGTAAATAATCTGAGAAGCTGGACTATATGAAGAAGATTCTTTCCTGCATCAGGATTGCAGGAAGACTCACTAACAACTTGCGATATGCAGATGACGCAACCTTGCTTGCTGAAAGTGAAGATGCCTTGAAGCACTTACTGATGAAAATCAAAGACTACAGGCTTCAGTATGAATTACATCTCATCATAAAGGAAACAAAAATCCTCACAATTGGACCAATAAGCAACATCATGATAAATGGAGAAAAGATTGAAGTTGTCAGGGATTTCATTTTGCTTGTGTCCATGATCAACATTCATGGAAGCAACAGTGAGGAAATCAGATGTCATATTGCACTGGGCAAATCTGCTGCAAAAGACTTCTTTAAGGTGTTCAGAAGAAAAGATGTCACTTTGAAGACTAAAGTGTGTCTCACCCAAGCCATGGTATTTTCAGTCCCCTCATATGATGTGAAAGCTGGACAACGAATAAGGAAGACCAAAGAAGAGTTGATGCCTTTGAATTGTGGGTTGGTGAAGAATACTCAAAATACCATTGACTGCCAGAAGAACGAACAGATATGTCCTGGAAGAAGTGCAGTCAGAATGCTCCTAGCAAGCAAGAATGGCCAGACTTCGTCTCACCTAGTTTGATCATGTTGTCACAAGGGGCCGTTCTCTGGAGAAAGATATCATGCTTGGGAAAGTAGAGGGTCAGCAAAGAAGGGAATACCCTCAACCAGATGGATTGACACAATACGCTCAAGCATATCAAGGATTATGAGGATGGTGCAGGACCAGGCATTGTTTCGTTCTGTTGTACACAGGGTCACTGTGAGTCAGAGCTGACTCTATGGCACCTAACAACAACTGGGAAAAAAAAAAAAAGCCAAACCCACTGCCATCTAGTCAATTCCGACTCATAGTTACCTCCAGTGGGTTTCTGAGGCAGTAAAATCTTTATGGAAGTAGATTGCCTAGTCTTGCTTCCATGGAGTGACTGGTGGGTTTGAACCACCAACCTTCTGGTTAACCATCAGATGCCTTAGTCATTGTGCTATCAGAGCTCCTTAACAACAACAGAGTGCTTTAAAAACACAGATATCTGGGATCAGTCCCAAACCAACTGAGTTATAATCCTTGAGCATTACAAGCTTTCAAAAGCTTCTTAGATGAATTTAGTGTGCAGCCAAAGTTGAGAATCACTGAACTAGTGATATTTTTATATCTGCATAGTTGGTCACATCTGATCAGGTGACTCCTTCAAATCTTTCAGTGGCTTCTGGTTGCTCTTAAGTTTAAACTTCCTAGCGTAGTTGATAAGGAACTCTGGTGGCACAGTGCTTACGGCACTAAGCTGCTAACCAAAAGGCAATTTGAACCCACCAGCTACTCCACGGGAGAAAGTAAAGACTTACAGCCTTGGAAACTCAATGGGAAAGTTCTGCTCTGTCCTATATGGTCTCTATGAGTTGGAATTGACTTGATGGCAGTAAGTAGTATAGTTTATGAGGCACTTGAAGGGCTGGGCCTAGAATATCACCTCTACCTTCTCTCTCACCACTTGTGCCTTTTCATACCCCTGCATTCAGCTATACTGAAATTATTTTGTTTCTTGGGAGGTACAGCACTCTTTCTTATCTCCTGTTTTTTTATGGACTCCTCCTCTGTCTAGATCCTCTCTTCCTTCCTCCTTTAGCTAACTCCCATTTGTCCTGCAGGTCTAATTGTCTCTGTGAAGCCATTGCCTAGATTAGCCATATACCCTAAACTTCATTATCATAACAATTTCTGTGCTTATTTAATTTTCATCCTTTATGTGCCTTTCCCTCTCTCTACCCCTTACCAGCTAGACTGTAAACTCCTCTGAGGCTGTCTTGTTCATTGTTGTAGGCCAGTACTTTACATAGTGTTTGGAATGTAGTAGGTATCCATTAAATATTTGTTCAAAGAAAATATGGAGGAAGGGTGTTTCATGTGTTGTGTTTGTTAAATTGAGATTATAAACAATCAGCATTATTATACTTACATCTGTGCTGACATTTCCAATTATTTCTATATAATAAAACCCTAGATCAGAGATTATCACCTAAGGATATGCAGGAGAACAGTGGTTCAGAATAGAGGTTACGGAGTAATTTGAATCCTGTAAACAATAACTACCTGCCTTATGATCTTGAGCAATTGCCTCATTTTTTAAATCTGTAAAATTAGAGTAAAAATATCATCCATGGTCGTCTTCTGGGGATTAAATGAGGTACTGTGCTTAACAGAACTGGCTTATTGCAAGATTTTAATATGTTTTATTTTTCTCATTGTGATGCACACTTAATATTTTGATAGATATTTTCAGGTTACCCTTCAGAAAGGTTATATCAATTTATACTTCCACCAAGAAGATACAGAAGTGTCATCTTCCCCCACACTTCTGTTAGTACTATCTACTCTCATTCTTTTTTGTCTTTGCCAATCTGACAAAGTGAAAAAGTAAAATGCTTTAATTGGCAGTTTTTCAACTGTTAATGATGTTGAGTATTATTATATGTTTCTAAGCCATTTGTATTCTTTGTGAATTACTTTTTTATGTTCTGTCGATGTTTCTATTGGGGTATTTACTGATTTTTAAAAAACTTTTATATATTAAGGATATATTTGCCATATTTTTTCCTGTTGGGGAAGCGGTGGTTCAGTGGTACAATTCTCGCATAGACCTCTTCGGCAGCCACCACCTGACAGTAGAGGCTTGTGTATTGTTAGATGCTGAACAGGTTTCAAGGGAGCTTCCAGACTAAGACAGGGTAGGAAGGAAGTCCTGGAAACCAGCCGGCAAAAAACCATATGGCTCACATGGTCCAGGCTACACCAGTCATGGGGATGTACAGGACCAGGCAGTGTTTCCGTCTGTTGTACATAGGGTTATCATGAGTCAGGGCCAACTTGACAGCAGCAGACAACAGATACCTTTTCCTTATAGTCTTTTAATTTTACTTATAAAATTTGCTAGGTTTAAAAAATATTTCTGTAGTCAGATTGTTTTTCTTATGACTTCTGTCGTGTAAATCTAAAATGAAGACTTTTATATTAAAAAAGTACAAAAATACTGTTCTGAATTTTCTTCTGGTGTTTTTTTTACAAGTATTTTCATTTCTTTAAATATCCACCTAGAATAAAGTTTTAATATATTATTAAATCGCTATGAGTTGGAATGAATTTGATAGCAATGGGGTAATATATAATGACTATCTTTAAACAAATAAGAATTATGGGAATATTTAAATTTAAGAAGGTTATGGAAATCCTTGAATGATATTTTAAAAAAGTACATACATTTCAAACTCCCTCTCCCAAAATATACTTCAAAGATTTTTTTTTTTAACAGATACTGTCGTCATGTGCTTTGTGAAACTGTTCGGACTGCTAAACTGACACCAATTTCTGCCCGGCTTCAAGATATTGAAGGAAAGATTGACCAATTTATTATTCCTAGAGAGGTAAAAAATATTTGTTATATGTAACTCATTGTTATTCTTCTCAATTCTCTTAGTTTATATTTTTACATTTTATTGTTAAAAGCACCTCCTACATGTTACCTAGGAGCTCTGGTAGCATAGTGCCTAAGGCACTTGACTGGTAACTAGAAGGCTGGTGGTTCAAACCCACCAGCCACTCCTCGGAAGGAAGGTTGGGCAATCTACTTCCGTAGTGATACTGCCTTGGAAACCCAAGGAGGGGTCACTATGAGTCAGGTCCGACTCGATGGCACATAACAACAACAACAACAAATATTACCTATTACTAAATCAGATACAGTCATTTTATTTTATTTGAAATTTTTGATTGTGATGTGGGTGCAGATTTACAAAGCATACTTCTTGTATTCTCAACAGTTTGTGCACATTTGGTTTCACAGCCTGATTACAATCCCCAACCATAAAAAACTCCTCCCATCTCCTCCCTGTGACTACCCATTCCGTGTAGAAACAATCACTTTAAATTACAAAATATGTGCTTATTTGAAGTTAAAATAAAGTCTCCCCTCCCCAGTATATTAATGGACACAGTTAACAGTGTAATGTCTATTTGTAATTTGTAGTCCTTTTTCTCTCTATATACATTAGTGTGTGTGTATGTGTATGCATATACATATATGTATGTATTTTAAAACGTAAAGATTAGTGTTTATAATTGTTTTTAAGTTCTTTTTTTTTAACTGAATATATATGGCTATTAGTACAACTGTCATTTGATACAGATCTGGCTCATTATTTTTAATGGTTGCATAGTCTATATAGTTATGAATGCACCATAATTCATATAATTTCATTGATGGAAATTTAGATTGACTTTTATTTTTAGTACTAGAAATTATATACTTATTCAGTTATTTGATAGAGTCTTAGAAGTGGATTTTTTGGGGTCAGAGTTCATGTATCTGTTACATGAGAATGCCTTTTCCCTCACCTCCTCTGGATTTATGAATGCTTTATATATTTTGAGTCTTGCAGGAAAAATTGTTGTCTCATTGTTTTAATTTGCTTTTCCATGATCATTGGAGAGATTGAGCAACTTTACATATATATATTAAACAGTTTTTTATGTTCATTTGTGAATTATCTAATTGCATCTTTCTTTCATTCTTCTTGCTAGTAAGCTTTTGTCTTTTTGTATGTTAGGGGTATTAACTACCTCAGTTATTGGTGCAGATTTTAAATTTTCATATAGTTAAGTCTGTTATTTCTTTGATTTCCATCTTTTATAGGCCTTCCCTATTATATGGTGACTGAAATAATAGTTAATGTTTTCTTCTATTATTTTATACTTTTATTTCATATTCATTATTTTAAAGGAGAATTTAGGATGAATTGGCTTCCTGGGAGTCATTTTGTCTTTGTTAGGCCTTTGCCAACTAGACTGATTTTTTTTTTTTTTTTCAGACCCTAGTCCTTTATGCCCTTGGTGTGGTACTTCAGGATCCCAGTACGTGGCCATCACCACACAAGTATGAAATATCAATCATTGTCTTTGTGATGTTGACTTTTATCTTTTTGTATGCCTTGCATTACTTTCTTAAGTTTTGAGGAGAAAATTAATTATGTGACAATTATACAAACAAAAGAAAGCACTTTTTTCCCTTTATATCTTCTGGTCATTACCTTTCCTCTTCCATGGATATGCTATTACTCTTTGCCTCTTTTATTATCCCTTTGATCCTAAGTTTGTTTAATTACCTGAGGTCTGCAACTATCCTTTAATTTCAATGGAATTTTGGAATTCTTCTGTTGTTAAGTGGGTATTGCATGCAGTTTCTTTTTCTCCTTCTGTTTGTCTCTATCCCGTAGTATTCAGCCATTCAGCAGAATTCAGAAAATAGTCAGGTGTCCCATGAGCCCCTCAGTGATGAAAATTTCCGTAATTAAGTTAGAGACACACTACCTACCATATCCTCCTCTTGTGTGTTCATAGTGCTTATTAGCATATGAAGGCTCTTGATTAAATCGTGTTTCTCAGACCTACTTGACCAATAGTAAAACCTATTGATAGAACTTTGTTCTGTGGGTCACACTTTAGTTAGTATTAATTTAGACAATGGAGTCTTTGGTGGTTCAGATGGTTAAGTGCTATACTGTTAGCCAAAAAGATGGTAGTTTGAACCCACCCAGAGGCACACTGGCAGACAGGCCTGGCAGTCTGCTTATGAAAGGTCACAGCCTTGAAAACCCTATGCGTTGCCTTGAGTTGTAATTGACTGGACAGCAGCTAACAATTTAGACAATGGGGAGTCATTGAAGGGTTTTAAGCAAGTAAGAGGTAAGGTCAAATTTACCTTTCAGAAAAATACATCTTTCTTATGATACAGTTTGAGGAATACTTGGAAAGAGGTAAGGATGAAGGTAGGAATTTACAAGAAAAGCTGTTTTTCTGTTTGTTTTTTAAATTAATGAAGGCAGGAATATAGACTCAGCAGCTGGATATTTTTATATAAAGGATGATGAAACTAGACTTTAGCTCTGGAAAGCAAGGAAGATGAATTTAGGATGAAGTGGATTGGATTTGTGTGGAAACTACGATAGAGTCTACAGTGACTTTCAGTTTTCTAGCTTCTAGGTGAGGAAGAACAGACAAGGGGCCCAAGAGTAGTAGATTTGAAGGGGAAGATAAAATTTTGCATGTGTTGAGTCAGAAACATTTATGTAGACGTTACATAGGCTGTTAAATATATGAGTCTGGAGTTTGAAGGAAGAGTTTATTTGAAGAATTTCGGAATTAATTAGGTGGTGTAGTGCCCAAGGCATTGGACTGCTAACCACAAGGCTGGCAGTTCAAACCCACTAGCCACTCCTTGGAAGGAAGATTGGGCGATCTATTTCCATAGAGATACTGTCTTGGAAACCCAAGGAGGGGTCGCTATGAGTTGAATATGACTCGACGGCAGTGAGTTTGGTTTCGGTTTGATAATAGAAGTGAGTTTTCTTTTTTAAAATTGTGATTTAGGTAGAAGTTTACAGAGCAAATTCATTTGCCATACAACAGTTCATACACATTTTGTTTCATGATGTTGGCTGCAAATTCTCACAATGTAACAGCTCTCTTCCTACTTCCTCCCTGTAGTTACCTCTGAAGTGAGGTCTTCTTAAGTGACTGATGTCCAATACAGAAATTATTTTGCATTTCTTTAGAACATAGGCTTGCTAAATCTTGTATTACATTCACATACAGTTGACATGGTTGGGCAATCCTACTTCTGTAGTGATACTGCCTCGGAAACCCAAGGAGGGGTCGCTATGAGTCGGGGCCGACTCGACGGCATATAACAACAACAACAACAGTTGACATAGTAAAACTTCCAGAAAAGAAAGCCTCATATACTTTCATTGTTACTTTAAAAATGTTTACTTTAAAACATTCTTACTCTCTGAGTTTCTAGGATGTCTTTCTTTGGTCTTGGAGGTATATAATCACATTAGTTTTTTTTTTTTTTGGTACTTATTTTGTTATTTCAGTCTTCTAATAGTTAATTTAAGAAGTACTACTTTTCAGACACTCATTTTAGAAATGATAGGTAGAATAAATGATAAACTCATATTACAGGATACTGTACGCTCATAATTATTTCAAAATTTTAAAGTTACTTCTAAATTCTCCTGTTCAAGCTGTGAATTATTAGAGTTGGCCTACTAACAGCAACATGGATCTTACACATATTTTCTACCTTGCTTCTCTAATATTCTGTCTGTATAACTTACAGTTTGGAGATTAAAGCATTGTAACTAACAGCATTCCAAAGAAGAGTGATCAAAACTGGGTCAGATTTGATTAGTAATGGTAGCCTTTTATTTCTGTTAATCTCTACACTTCTAGTGGGCCATGTTCTTATGGAATTGGAAAATCTAGTTTATTGCCCAGTTTATAATTTATTTATCTGTTGGGATGTACTAGATAAATCATACTTATGAATACAGAACACAAATATCCTCCATTGATAGAGCCCTTTTCCAAAGAGCAAGGGGTTTCACACATATCTTATTTGTCATGTATTCTGAAAGTAATTCTGTTTTAAAACACTGTAAACTACATAATGTTCCTTTTAAAAAGGAAAACAGACAACACCTAGCTAGTTAAAGGAGTTTTCTTAGCTACAGACGTAATAGAAGCTCTGGTAGCTTAGTGCCTGAGGCACTTGACTGCTAACCAAAAGGCTGGCAGTTCAAACCCACCAGCCACTCCCCGGAAGGAATGCTGGGCAATCTACTTCCATAGTGATACCACCTCAGAAACCCAAGGAGGGGTTGCTATGAGTCGGGTCCGACTGGACAGCACATAACAACAAGAACACAGACATAATAGTTATTGTAAGGCTGGTATCGCTATATTGGTTATTACCCCAAGGCATGTTTTTGTGATAAGATACTTTGTGAAGATGCATAAAAGTTATATGGAACTATAATGCTATTTATCCATTGTTGCAAAACCTAGAACTATTCAAGAAAAGTATGTCCTTTGCCTTTGTGTTTTTTTCTAGCAATGTTTTGTTACAATTCAGATTCTGTAATGATTGTATTTGCATACATGCCAAAGTTGTCTTTCCTGCCACAGGAATTAGTGAGAATCTCTTGGATAAATCCTTGCTTAATAGTTATTGAACTAAGGACTTTGCCATAAGTTCTGTTTTTTCCTTTTAACTTTTTATATTTTAAACAAATTATAGACTCAAAATAAGTTGCAAAAATCATTGAAAGAATTATCAGCTTCTTCCAATGGGGGTATCTCAGCTGCAGTATAATATCAAAACTAGGAGAGTGACATGGGTATGTTATTATGAACTAGACTCCAGAAATCACTGTTTTCACCATTTTTTTAAACTTGCATTCATCTGTGTATATGTGGCTATGCAGTTTTATTCCATGTATAGATTGGTGTAACTACCACCACAATCAAGTGCAGAACTGTTTGATTGCCACAAAAAAGAACGCCCTCGTATTACCTCTGTATTCACACCTATCCCCTACCCATAATCCCCCCTTTCCCTCTTACCATGTTCCCTGGCAACAATGAAGACTGACTTTTTTCATTAAACTTTTCACCTTTGAAGTCCATCTAGGTTGTTGCATGTATCAATAATAGTTCATTCCTTGTTATGGCTGAATAATATTCCATTATGTGGATGTACCAGAGTTTGTTCAACCATTCTCCCATTAAAGGATATTTGGTTGTTTCCAGTGTTTTGCTATTATAAATGGAGCTGTTATTAATATTTGTGCACAGGTTTTTGTATGAACGTAAGGTTTCATTTCCTTGGCATAAATATTCAAGTGTTTAGTTGCTGGATTTTATGGTCAAGTATATGTTCAGTTTTAGAAACTGCCAGACTATTTCCCAGGGTAGCTGTACTATTTTATGTTCCCACCAGCAGTGTTTAATAGACTTACTTCCTCTGCATCCTCAGTGGCATTTGCTACCACTAATTTTGATTTTAGCTGTTCTAATAGGTATGTAGTGATATCTTACTTTGGCTTTAAGAAGTTTTCTTTTTGAGTGAATAATCAACATTAACTTACCTGTCTTAGAAAAAGGCTAGATATGATTTATTTCTTAAAAAAAATGCATTGCTATTTGTACCATGTTGGTGGTGTTTCAGAGCAAGGAACCCTGGATCAAATTCTGTGACGTAAGTGAATAATAATGTAAATATTCTGTACAGAATGATAAGATATTGTCAACTTTACAAATTAGGCTAAAATAAAATCCTCAATTCTGAAAAGAATAAATGCAAAGATGAAAAAGAAAATGTGAGATTAAATTATCTCTTTGTTTTTCAGTTTGGTTTTCTTCTTAATATGGTTTAAAATGTGAGGTGTTTTAAAAATATAACTTGAAAAGTCTGATTTTCTTTTAATCTGAAAATATGTAATTGTTGTTGTTGTTATTTGCCGTCGAGTTGGACCCGACTCATAGTGACCCCTCCTTGGGTTTCTGAGGCACTATCATTACTGAAGTAGGATTGCTCAACCTTCCTTCAGAGGAGTGGCTGGTGGGTTTGAACCGCCAGCCTTCTGGTTAGCAGTCAAGTGCCTTAGGCACTATGCTAGAGCTCCTGAAAATATATAATAGATACTGCTAAATAAACATTTTGAATCTCAAATTTCAAGAGTTATAAAAGGAAAAACTAATTAAATTTCATGATTTTTATATGAACTACATTGTAAATATAATGTATTCTAAAAGTAAAAGGTAATTCACATGCTTTGCTTTTAGAGAGTAAAAGAATTTCTCTTTTTAAAAATTTACTCATAAAAGAACTGAGATCTTTCAAGAACATGTTTTTGAGAGGAATTTTTATGCTTCAGGGTGGTTGAGTTATTTGTTTTGTTTTTAATATATCCATTCCCCCACTGAGTTTTAATAGAGTAAAATCCTGTAGCATTAAAACAAACAAACCTTCCTACTCTTAATTTTTCTTACTTATTAATAAATTTGAGGGTATTGCAGTTAATTAGTATAATTTTAAAGCTAGAGCCTCCAATTTTAAGAAATAAGCTTTGAATGAAAAGTTTACATAAAATGCCTCAAATACTGATGAGATGGTCTCATTTAAAAGGTATGTCAAACACTGAAATTTCTAAAAATGTTCATTATGTGATTTTTATTTATCCTTATATATAAATCTGTGTTATAATCTCATTCCTTTCTGGTTTCAGAGAAATACATTTTGCATATATTGTTTCCAAATAATAAATGTAATTTGGGAACATAATAATAGGTGACATTTAAATATAATGTGACAGTGCTTTCTATTTTCAGTAGCTTTTAAACTTTTATGATATACTTGTGTTCTCCTGTGTGTCCATATATAAAATGCCAGTGAAGCTATGTGGTGACTAATTGCAAATCTTTTTAGGTTTGATCCAGGCCGCTTTGATGATGAATCAGTAATGAAAACATTCTCCTTGCTTGGATTCTCAGGCACACAGGAATGCCCAGAATTGAGGTGAGGTGATACAGAAAGCAACATGAAAAATGCCAGACTCTGTACTTAGAATTTTGATGAGAATGATAACATATATCTATTTAAAATATTATTTTCTATTAGCAGAATATCTTTAGTAACTAGTTGATGTTCTTCCTGACTAGGTTTGCATATATGGTGACCACAGTACTTCTGAGTGTATTGGTAAGGAGACTGCACCTGTATTCTGTGGAGGGACAAGTTATTGAAACAAAGTATGAACTGGTAACATCATCAAGGGAAGAAACTTGGATCACTGTCTCAAAGAGATATTAAAATCTTACACATTTTAACTCTGTTAAAGGGACTGAGGAAACTAACAATTTACAAGATCTTGTGGTAAATCCTTCTTTAAATCAAGTATCGTTTTGCAATATAAACAAATATTTGTATTTTATTATATAAATGTGTATTTTTGTATATCAGATTTTTTAACACAGGATATACATTTATACTTATTGCACCAATATATTGATAATTTTAACGGACACTTTAGCTTTCTACTTTTCAAATTTTATTCTTCTATTTTTTATGCCATTATTTTTGTATTTCTCAGCTTGATCTCTAAAATTAATATTCTTGAAAAAAATAATTTTATAGAAGTTTAGGAATAATGACTTCTGAATATTCGTAAAATAAAAAACAGTCTTAAGTCCTTTTCATATTTCTAATAAATCAACTTAATAATAAAAAACAGACTAAACATTAATTTTTATTTCTTGGATTAATATTTTTATTTTCTTGGTATAAATGAGTTTGGGTTTTAATCACTTTTATTCAGTTTGAGTAATTTATTGAGTATTCTACCTTGCATTTGCTATCTTTTACCTGCCTAGAGTATTTATTTTCATTTCATGACTTACTCATTTTGAACAGTTCTGAATCACTTGGAAAATAATAGTTCTGAATTTTTTTTTAATTGTGATTTGAGTGAACGTTTACAGATCAACTTCATTTTCCATATAGCAGTTCATACACATTTTGTCTTGTGACATTGACTGCAATTCCTTGTAATGTAACAGCTCTCTTCCTACTTCCTCCCTGTAGTTACCTCTTCCCTGTGTCCTTCCCTTCCATGCACTCTCACTCCCTGAGCTGTCTTCCTGTGTAAATACTGCCATTCTGTTCTCCCACAACTGATTGCTCCAAGGAGTGTATCTATCTGATATAAATGTTCACTTCATATGCCTGTCTATTGTTTGGCTGGAAGCCACAGGAGTGAGTTCAGTTATAGACCTGAAGGGTAACTAGGGGCCATAGTCTCAGGGGTCTCATCAGGCTCTATCAGATCAGCAAATCTGGTCTTTTCTTTCTTTCTTTCTTTTTTTTTCTTTTATGATTTTGAGTTTTGTTCCACATTGTTCTCCCACTGTATCCAGGATCTCCTGCACAGATCCCCCTCCGAGTGTTGACAGTGGTAGCTGGGCACCATCTGGTTCTTCTGGTCTCAGGGTCATATAGGCTTGAGGATCACATGGTCTGCTTGTTCCTTGGACTGATTGTTCCCATATATCTTTGCTTTTCTTCATTCGTCTTTGCTTCGGACAAGGAGAGACCCATTTTTGTATCTATATGGCCACTTGTAAGCATTTAAGACCTTAGTTGCTACTCACCAAAGTAGGATGTAGAACAATGTTTTTGTGTAGTATGTTGTGCCAGTTGAGCTTCATATTCCCTAGGACCACAGTCCTGAGCCTGCAGGTCCAACTACTTGCTCCCTCTGGGTAGCTGGCTGTGGTCAAGAAGCCACAACAACTTTGCCCCTTGTCTGAATGTGTTTTGAAGAGCCATGCCTAAATGACAAACTAGGATTAATGGTGGTTCTTCCATTTTGCTGGAAACTTTAGCTGCACTGACTCGACGGCACATAACAACAACAACAACAACATTACTCAACTAATTCTCATTAGTAGAGAAAAAGGAATCCCTACATTTGTTTTCACTGTATACCATGTTAAATATAATGAACATGTTAATCTTAAGAAATGAGGGAGCACTAACTGAAACAAAAACCACACACACACACACACACACACACACACACACAAAGAAAACACAGTGAGTGAAAGTATTTGCAAAATACATGACAGAGTAAGATAATATCCACATTACATAAAGAGCTCAAACTGGTAAGAAAACCATCAATATCCAATAGATAATGAGTAGAGACATGAACAAACATCTTTTACAGGACAAAATAACCAATAAACTTAGAAAAATGTTCAGTCTCACTAGTAAGCAAAGAAATATAAGGGCTATTTCAAGAACATTTTATGTTATTAGTGAAAAGCACTGGTAGTGGTGGTGTTAGGTGCTGTTAAGTTGGCTTTGACTCTTGGCAGCTCTGTGTAGAACAGAACGAAACCTGTACCATCTTCACAATCCTTGTTATGCTTGAGCCCATCCTTGTAGCCTTCCCCTGTTTTGCTGACCCTCTACTTTACCAAGCAGATGTTCCTTCTGACAACATGACCAAAGTAGGTGACTGAGGTCTGGCCATTCTTGCTTGTCAGGAGCATTCTGGCTACACTTCTTCCAGGACAGATTTGTTCATTCTTCTGGCAGTCCATGGTATTTTCACTATTCTTTGCCAACACCACAACTCTTCTTCAGTCTTCATTATTCATTGTTCAGTTTTTACATGTATATGAGGTGATTGAAAATACCATGGCTTAGGTTGTTGTTGTTGTTGTTATGTGCCGTCGAGTCGGCACTCTTAATCTTCAGAGTGACACATTTGCTCCTTGACACTTTAAAGAAGTCTTTTGTAGCAGATTTGCCAAGGGTAATATGACATCTAGGAGCTCTGGTAGCATAGTGCCTAAGGTGCTTGACTGCTAACCAGAAGGGTGGAGGTTCAAACCCACCAGCCACTCCTCGGAAGGAAGGTTGGGCAATCTACTTCCGTAGCGATACTGCCTCGGAAACCCAAGGAGGGGTCGCTATGAGTTGAGTCCGACTCGACGGCACATAACAGCACAGCAATATCACTTCTGATTTCTTGACTGCTACTTCCATAGGTGTTGATTATGGATCCAAGTAAAATGAAATTCCTGACGACTTCAATCTGTTCTCCATTTATCATGAAGTTGCTTATTGGTCCAATTTTGAGGATATTTGTTTTCTTCATGTTGAGGTGTAATCCATACTAAAGACTGTAGTAGTCTTTGGTCTTTATCAGTTAAGTGGGTCAAGTCATCTTCACTTTCAGCAAGAACTGTTAAGGTTTGTATTTGATACTTTATTGATAGCATTATATCTTACTCCAGTTTTTTGTCACATTATTTGTGAAGAGTTTTTTTTAAAGTATGTTTTTCTTTAAGACAACAACTGAAGGAAGTATGCCAAGTGCAGACAGAAGGGAGAGGAAGTAAAATGATAATTGTTTGCAAGTGAGTTTATTTTTAACACTGCTGAATTTCATTTATAATTTTAATTTCAAGAATGTACTACAGTTACTGAGTTACTTTGTGTTATGTTTGCAGCTAACACTTTAGACCTAGTTATGACTGGTCAACCTAGAATTTAATTAGATGCAGTGTTCATTACTAGAAAAATAATTAAATTTATAGAATAATTTAAATTCCAAAGTTTTAAGTAAAATATATTCTTAGTTACTAGTACCATGTTGTTTCTAAAATGGCACACTGTTAAGCTTATCTTCCTCCTACTATAATTTTCTCTGATGTGTATATAGAACATCTTCTTTGGTTTTCAAGTATTCTGAGTGGGTAGGAAACTGGCAGTGGAAGGTTAGAGTAGGTAATTGATATATAAAACAAGTGTTTGTAAGATCAGATGAGAGAGAAGTGGAATTTGAAAAAGATCTGATGAGCAATGATCAAGGCAAAAATAGGGCCACTGAGCAAATGTCCATGAATTTGCATAATTGCCAATAAATGAGGCAGTGTATAATTACTAATAAAGATCAGATTTGAGGAAAACAGGGCACTGAGGAATCATATAAATAAGCATATTTTACCCATAGGTACACTACTGGATGAAAGCATTAAAAACAAATCATATTCCAGAGGATTTTTTCACAAATAAAAATATTGTTAATCATGAAAAACATAAGTTATCCATTCACTGTTATTATGTTTATCTGATAATTGAAATTTTAGTTGCCTTATTGTCACTCATGGCTCATAAAGTGGCTTTAACTGATACTGAAGTAAGTTTCAGTTTTCAAAAATTGATCTTCTCACTGATTTGATCTGCATTTTTTTTAATAGTTCATAAATTTATTCTTAACAACAACAGCACAGAACTCAAATTCCTTAAAAAGTCCAGACTTAACTTGACCAAAAGAGACTAGAGGAACCCCCTGAGAAGACTGCCTTAAGATAACCTTTGAGCATGTAATTGAAGCTATCTAGTCGGGTCACCCTTCAGCCAAATTACAGACTGGCTTACAAAATAAACAATATCGTGGGATAATGTGCTCCCTCAAGCAATGAATTACAATGAAAGCAAAGGGTCAACATTTACCCAAAAACAAAGGTGAGAAAGCAAGGAGAGGAAGGGAAGGAAGCAAGATCAATGGAAATAGAAGAAATCAAATGGAAATGATGAGAACAATGACACTTTGTAAAAACTGTAACCAATGACATGGAATAATTTGTATAAAAATTGTTAATTTGCTATGTAAATTTCCACCTAAAACACAATAACCATTAATATGAGTAGGACTAAATGTTTTCAAATAAATCTAAATCTTGAGCATGGGAAAAAACAAAATGATATTATTAAACAAACAGCAGCACAGAGCATTTTTAAATGGAATCAAAGGGGACTTCGATGCTTTGTGCTAATAAAATTTAAGGCAGAATTAATTCTGTCTGTGCATTTGGGAAAAATAAAAAAATTCATGCTGTTTATTTGGCATATAACTATGCAATTCTACCATGTTATATAAATAAAGTCTATTATTATTTAGACTGTCAAAATTTATTCGTTCCTTATCTTACAATAGTTCTTTTTTAAAAACAAAACTGCTTTTTCATTATGAAAATAAGATTTATTGAAGAAAATCTAGAAAACACAAAAATGGCAAACTCAGTCACCTACCGTCTCACTAGTTGAAGATAACCACTCTCTTTTCTATGCATACATTATTTTTATAGACATTCTATACATAATATTTTTTTCTTTATTATGAAACAATATTCTTTTCTATAACTGGAACACTGATATTCTTCTCAGAAAGTAAGCACAGATTCTTGTCTTTTCTCTTACTTTTTCTTACTTTTCTCTCCCTCTTTCCGTCTCAAATAATCTGGTTATTCTTGTCAACTTTAAAATCCACTTTATTTCTCCATCCATTCTACCAACAGTTACGTATTTATGTATCTAAGTTGCTAAAACCATACAGCAATACTGTTGTTGTTAT